CAGACCCTTGCCCTCTTGGGCACCCTCAGCAAAGGGGCAGGTGGGGACACTCCAAGTGGCGTGGCTCTTCCTACACGTGCCCCACCTCCATGAGTCAGTTCAGCCCTATCGGGGACTGAGCGGGGGCATCCCCTCCTTTGTACATAGTCTCCGTGAATGTCCCCGCCCTGCAGCCACCAGCTCCTTGCTGCTCTCCTTTAATGTTAAATGGCCCCTGCCGGGGCAAGGCCCAACCTGTGTGCAGGTGTCCCCAGCAGCAAACACTGGAAAGTCTTTTTTTTCCTTTCCTTTCTTCTTCCCCACCCCTTAATTTTAACTTTCTGGTAACTGAGTGTCCCTGTGTGCCACAGTGTGAGTGTGCTGGCGGCAGTGCCTTCCAGAGGCCTGATCCATCTGGAGTTTTAAGGGGTGAGGGGACCAGAGCAGTGAGACCAGCATGGGGGTCAGCTTCCCTTCCCCATCTGGAGCCAGGGAGTGTCGAGGTAACCAGCTGTGGTCCTGCTCGCTGCCTCCCTGACCCCTCCCCCACTCGCGCCCCTTCTCTATCAACTTAAATCTCAAAAACCACTTGCCTCTGTCTGTTCTCCCACTCCCGGATGGAGGGGGAATGTGTGCTGGCCAGGGCGGAGGACTGAGCACCTGAGCCCAGGGCTGACTCCCCCCGGGGTCCCTGATTCAGCTGCTGGCTGTGGAGCTGAGTCTCCCCCCTGCCCCGTAACCTCATCGAGGCCAGCACCCACCATCACTACCTGCACTTGCTGTGGTCCCACCCTCTGGAGGCCTGGGAACCTGGCTGCAGCCTGGTAAGGCTGGAAAGGCAGACGGCAGCACCCACCAGCTGGCTCCCCGCCCCACCTCTTCCCTGGGAGCCAGGCCCTACCTGTGTAGTTGTGGGTGGGCTGACTGTCAAGACGTGTCATGGCCAGGTGTAGTGGTTCATGCCTGTAATCCCAGAACTCTGGGAGGCCAAGGCGGGCAGATCATAAGGTCAAGAGATGGAGACCATCCTGGCCAACATGGTGAAACATCAATCTCTACTAAAAATACAAAAATTAGCTGGGTGTGGTGGCACACCTGTAGTCCCAGCTATTGGGGAGGCTGAGGCAGGAGAATCTCTTGAACCAGGGAGGTGGAGGTTGCAGTGAGCCGAGATCCCACCACTGCCCTCCAGCCTGGTGGCAGAGCACGATTCCATCTCAAAAAAAAAAGACATGTGTCATGTGCATTTGTATCAAAAATAAAGAAGTGACCACACACACACACACAAAGGAATCAGATAACCCAGTCAGTTTAATAATAAGAGTTAATTTATGACTAGAATCAGCAAACTGCTTGTGGTCAAATCTAGGCCTACTGCCTGTTTTTAAATGAAGTTTGCTTTCTTGTTTTGAAGCAGGGTTTCACTCTGTCACACAGGCTGGAATAGCTGTGACTATAGGCATGTGCCACCATGCCCATGCCCAGATAATGTTTGTGTTTTTGGTAGAGACGAGGTTTCACCGTGTTGCCCAGTAACCACCCAGGGGGTGGTTACTGCCAGAGCTGGCTTGTGCATGTGTCTCTCAAACTCCTAGGCTCAAAGGATACACCCGCCTCAGCCTCCCAAAGTGTTAGGATTACTGGGGTGAGTCACTGCACCCGGCCAATAAAGTTTTATTGGAAAACTTATCTATGGCTGCTTTCATCAGACAAAGGCAGAGTTAAAAAGTTGCCATCTGCAAAGTCTACAATTTTTACTATCTGGTCTTTTACAGAAAAAGTGTGTAGAGCCTTCTCTAGACAATGCATGGATATTTCCTTACAATTGGGAAGGTCATTCAAGGTCATCCAGCCCAGGGGTTCCTAGATTTTAAGATCTTATGCATCAGTAAAATTTCAAAATAAAATTTAGAGGATAATTATGGGGTCTCCAGTGTTTACTTTTGTCAAATGTAACTACCTCGTGAAAGAAGACATTTTAACCACTCATAAAAGAAGATATTTTAAAGTGAATAGCACATGAAAAGCTTGCTGCATTATCCTTTCTTTCATTTCTCTGAGTTTTGGTAAACACTTCACTCCCGACCAGACAGTTAATGGTTTGGATTGTGGAACCACTGACCTGGCGCAATCTCAGGCACCAGCTGCTGACTGCGTGCAGGGAGGCTGCTGGGTTGGGCCTGGAGTCTTACTCCTGCACCCAGGCTGATGCCCTCTGGGGAGAAGGGGCGGGTTCTCTGGGGGGGTGGTTACTGCCAGAGCTGGCTTGTGCATGTGTCGCACACTCCATCCAATGATGAAGAGTCTTGCCTTGCTTTAAATAATATGCTTTTTCCTAATAAATAAAAAATGCTCAGTGTAGAAAACTTGAGAAAAAATGGAAAGTACAAAATTCACCTCCACTCAAAGAGATTTAAAGATTTACTGATATCCAGGGAGAAATAAAAATACTTTGCAATCTAAAAATCCTAAAGAGACAAAACCCAGCATATGTCCCAGAACCATCATGGAGCCTGACACATGGCAGGCACCAATATTTATTGAAATAACAGGCCAGGCATGGTGGCTCATGCCTGTAATCCCAGCACTTTGGGAGGCCGAGGCAGGAGGATCATGAGGTCAGGCGTTTGAGACCAGCCTGACCAACATGATGAAACTCTGTCTCTACTAAAAATACAAAAATTAGCTGGGTGTGGTGACGTGTACCTATAATCCCAGCTATTCAAGAGGCTGAGGCAGGAGAATTGCTTGAACCCGGCAGGCAGAGGTTGCAGTGAGCCGAGATGGCACCACTGCACTCCAGCCTGGGTGACAGACCCAGACTCCACCTCAGAAAAAAAAAAAAAGATTTATAATTGCCATGAAAAACAATTTAAGAAGCAAGGATTATTTGTGTTCATTAGTTTTCATCACATTTTGCTGTCAAAACAATTTACATAAGTTGTCTTATTATTAAACTGCCCTAATAATACATGTGGTAAAGTGACATTTAAAAATTGATCTAGTAGACTTTAATTAATTAATTAACTTTTGATGCAAGGTCTTGTTCTGTTACCCACGCTGGAGTGCCGGTGGTGCAATCATGGCTCACTGCAGCCTCCTGGGCTCAATCAATCCTCTTGCCTCAGCCTCCCAATCTGGGACTACAGGTGTATGCCAGCATGCTTGGCTAAATTTTGTATTTTTGGCAGAGACAGGGTTTTGCCATGTTGCCTAGGCTGATCTCAAACTCCTGGGCTCAAGTGATCCCCCTGCCTCTGCCTCCCAAAGTGCTGGGATTACAGGCGTGCACCACCAAATCTGGCCCATCTGATAGACTGTAATGATTTCAAAAGATATACCTCTAGCAATTTCTAAGAAGCAATGCTTAAGTTGGTGAATTATTTTGCATTTATGCCTGGTTACGTAACCGCGAAACATATTAAAGTTTATATTCAGGCTGGGCATGGTGGCTCATGCCTGGATTCCCAGCATTTTGGGAGGTCTAGGTGGATGGATCACTTGAGGTCAGAAGTTCCAGACCAGTGTGGCCAACATGATGAAACCCCATCTCTACTAAAAATACAAAAAAATTAGCTGGTGTTGTGGTGGGCACCTGTAATTTCAGCTGCTTGCGGGGCTGAAACAGGAGAATTGCTTGAACCCAGGAGGTGGAGGTTGCAGTGAGCCGAGATTGCACCATTGCACACCAGCCTGGGCAACAAGAGCAAAACTCTGTCTCAAAAAAAAAAAAAAAAACTACATTCAAAACAAAAAATTGAGGCTGGGTGCAGTGTCTCACACCTGTAATCCCAGCACTTTGGGAGGCTGGAGGATCACTTGAGGCTAGGAGTTCCAAAGACCTGTCTGGGTAACATAATGAGACCCTATATCTACAAAAATTAAAAACAAAAATAAAAAAATTAAAAGTTGAGAACAATTTTTAACCCTTTGTGGTTTACAAAGGCAAAATTGATAACTTCATACTATTTCCTATAAAACCATCATGTATATCTTCTCCTTGCAAGGCTGTTCTCAGGCTCCTTCCAGCAGTTTATTAACGCCATCTCCTCCTTTGAGAAACAAACATTCAAAATCGTCCCTGATAAACTGGAAGAATAAAAATGACTTCTGCCTGGTTCTTCTTTATCTAACTGTTTAACTCAGATATGTCTTATTTCCCCTGACATTTCGTTATGCTCATTGAGCTTTTCCAAGAAAGCATAAGGTCATTTGAACTTTTAAAAAATAAGCAAGCATCATGTCTTTTCAAAAATTACATCCTTCCTTTGATGAGGCATCTAGCTGCATCTGATTTAAATCTTTCCTCAACCACCTCCCTGCCGCCGACCCCCGAAACACCCTGCACATATCCCTCGCATTTCTCCACTCCTCCAACATTTAACCTACTGGATCAGGCCTGCTCCTCACCTGCCCATGTTGTGGTGAGCCTCCTGCAGTCTGACTTGGTCCAGATGGGAGCTTACATGTGACAGAGAGGCTGGGGAGCAGCCTCGGACCCTAACGTCCCCACACATTCTACTTAGATATTTTTCTTTTTTTGAGATGGAGTTTTGCTCTTGTTGCTCAGGCTGGAATGCAATGGAGTGATCTCGGCTCACGGCAACCTCTGCAATTAGATCTCAACACACACTTATTTGGTGATTTTTATTTATTACTTTTATAATTATTGAGTATTGCTATGGTTTGGGTCTGTGTCCCCACCCAAATCTCATGTTGAATTATAATCTCCAGTGTTGGAGGAGGGGCCTGGTGGGAGATGGCTGGATCATCGGAGCCGATTTCCCCCTTGCTGTTCTCTTGATAGTGAGTTCTCACGAAATCCAGTTGTTTAAAAGTGTGTGGCATTTGTCCCTGCTTTCTTCCTCCTGCTCTGACCATGTAAGACATGACTGTTTCCCCATTACCTTCCACCATGATTGTAAGTTTCCTGAGGCCTCCCCAGCCATGCTTCCTGTACAGCCTGTGGAACTGTGAGCCAATTAAAACTCTTTTCTTTAAAAATTACCTAGTTTACCTTGTGTTTTTTTTTTTTTTTTTTTTGAGACAGAGTCTTGCTCTGTTACCCAGGCTGGAGTGCAGTGGTGCAATCTTGGCTCACTACAACCTTTGCCTCCTGGGTTCAAGTGATTCTCCTGCCTCAGCCTCCCTAGTAGCTGGACACACATGACCACACCTGGCTAATTTTTGTATTGTTAGTGGAGACAGGGTTTCACCATGTTGGCCAGACTGCTCTCGAACTCCTGATCTCAGGTGAGCCACCTGCCTCGGACTCCCAAAGTGCTAGGATTACAGGCCTGAGCCATGACATCTGGCCTCGGGTATTTCTTTATAACAGTGGGAGAATGGATTAATACAAGTACTTTTTCAATAATTTTCCTGAATTAGTTCTAAGACATAAAACAGATTTGCATTTAACGTTTATTGAAAGCAGAGGCAATTCACACTACGGAACCAACGCAACAAGACATTTTTACTTTTTTTTCTCTCCAAGTTTTTTGTCCTTTTAAAAATTGGGATAGTTGCCTTTAATTATTAGCTTGTATTTGTCCCTCTGCCAGCTTTAAGGCATAATCAACAAATAAACACGATGTTGTTTTTAAATGTCTAATGTCTATAAAGCCCAATCCTGAGAACTCTACCACTGGGGTGCTCTGGTTAATTGGATTTCTGTTAATCACCAATCAGTTTTTTGTTAAACAAGATTTGTTCAAAACTTAACCAAACTCGAATTTACTTTCTTACCTCAGGGAAAAAAAAAATCTCCTGGGCACATCTGTATCATGCTTTGGTGACACAGAACTCTAAGCATCCTAGGTTAGGATTTGGAGCATCAGGGAGCATGCTGAGGATGGAGAAGGAGCAGGAAAGTGAGCCACAGGTGCACCAGCCCAGGCCTCAACTCTCAGAGGGCTTCTTAACTTGTTCCAGGTATGATTAATGCTGTCTTGGAAATCAGTATTACTGTTAGCCAGATTCCAGTTAACCAACATTCTTTCTTTTTTGAGACACAGTCTTGCTCTGCCACCCAGGCTGGAGTGCAATGGCATGGTCTTGGCTCACTGCAACCTCTGCCTCCTGGGTTTAAGCGATTCTCTTGCCTCAGCCTCTCAAGTAGCTGGGATTACAAGCGCCCGCCACCATGCCTGGCTAATTTTTGTATTTTGAGTAGAGACAGGGTTTCACCATGTTGGCCAGGTTGGTCTCGAACTCCTGACCTCATGATCCGCCCACCTCAACGTCCTGAAGTGCTGGGATTACAAGTGTGAGCCATCATGCCTGGCTAACCAACATTTTTTTTTTTTAAACCAATACTTTTGCAGCTCTTGAATTTCTTACTCAAGGGACAAAACTTTTAAATTGACTTCAGCCAGCTTTTTTACCACCGGGATAAATTAGATTTTATTATGCACACATACATCCTTTTAAAAAAATATCACCCAGCTTTATATTTGTATCCAAATATTTTTTGCAGCTGTAGAATTCTCACCTTGGCTGTGCTTTTGAGAAGTGCTAATTCTACCATACAGTGTTGGCTGGGCAGCCACTTGAAATGAGGGTTACTATTTGTTTCGATTCAATTCTAAGCCCACAGGTCTCCTTCGGGCCTTGAAATAGCCAAGAGACCAAGCTCCCAAGATATGTGGGAGAAACTAAAGTGTGCAAGGATGAGAGAAGCTATAAGATGAATACAGATTGTCTTGTTTCATTTATACTGCCATTATAAAATGACATGCTTTGGGGACATTTGAAAAGTTGCCATCAAAATGTACTATTGAAGTTTTGAGCAACCAAAATAAGATTGAATGTAAGAACATTCAAATGTGCAGGGCAGTGTCTGCCAAACTTTGCTGCATATTAGAATCACCTGGGGAGCTTCTGAAACTCTAAATGGTCATGCTGTTCCCATACCTGGGAGTGGGGATCAGGATGTCTAGGGGTGGGAGTCAGGCATTCATTTTTTAAAAGATCCCTAGATGATTCCAAAGTTCAGCAGGTTTGGGAACCGATGGCATTTGGTAGTGCAAGTTTAAGCAATTTGTAGCATATTACTTAAAGGACTCAACTAAACTTACAGAATACTTTCATTCACGGACCTCATGGATGTTTACATTTAAAATGCTTCAACATTATGATAGTAAGTTATTTCCAAAAAATTGTAAAAGAATCTATCAGTGACATTGAAAATTATTCTGTGATCTAAAACATTGCCAAAATACTGTAATCCACTCCTTTTTAGGGGGAGAATGTCAGGAAAATTTATTTCCAGCTTCAAAATCCTCTTTATAAGGATAGAAGCAGAAGAAAGATGAAGGGAAAAAAATATAAACAAAGAAAGACTGAAATGATTATTTACTAAGAATTGCAAATGCTCATTTTCTGGGCACACCACAAAGTTCCATTCTCTGTTCCCAGGACTTTGCGTAATACACAGGGACACGTTGGTAAAAGGCTGATGCTTTTAGTTTATCAAAATAAACCTGAGTGTTTCTTTTCCCAGCCCTCAGTGAAAACTGAGACTTTACTCATCTTTATGAAAAAAAGAAAGAAAGAAAAAGAAAAGAAATGTGTCTAGTAGTGAGCTTGCCTGTCCTTTGGATTGTTCTGTGGTTGCAATGTCCCTCCTAACTGATTAGCCCTCATTCCACAGATTACCATGTGTTGGGAACATTCGAGGATTATATCAGCCGAGACTCCTGCTGTCTGTCTGGTAAAGAGAGCAATTTACAATAACAAACATACGCCAGATTTGGATGAATTACCCTCTCCACAACCCGTAGGTCTGTTGGGGTCATTCAGTTCCTCAAACAGTCCCGTTTCTATAATTTCTTCCTGCCACGCTATAGGAACAGCACCTGTTGCAAAGCTTTTGAAAAACTGCTTATCTTTGTCATCAAATTCCACCCCCCGAACCTCAGAGAAATCATCAATTTCACCGATGTCTTTGGCATAAACCACCGAAGGGTCTGGCACAAATGGGGGTTTGACTAGGCCGGCTTCCAGGCGAGGAAAGTTGATCGTTTTAAAGAAATTATGTTTCCTGGGATCATCAGACTTTTCTCTGTGAAGAAAGGAGATGATCAGCCTGAGACAAAGTTAACCAACCAAAATGGGACATGTTCTAACAATACAAAGCGTGTGGCATATTTTTCTTACAATACATTTCATTTTAATTGCAAAGACAACATAATGATATAAAGAATAACTGAAAAATAGTAACTTTTGAAATGATCCCAAATTCTGTACCAAATAGACAGTAGCACTTTCATTATTTGCAGACAGCTTTCACCTGTCGATGCAACTTTTAAATAGTGAAGCTTTGGACATGACAATCCTTCTTGGTGTTTCATGGAAATACAAGGAAAGTTCTGGAGAACTACACCTGCTTGCCTGCAGCTTCCAGTCATTGCCTCTTCAGGGTCACATAGAACGAGTTAAGCACATCTCTGTCCCACACTATCACCACTCCCATTTTAAAAGACAGCACTCATATCCCCTTATTAGTAATATGACAGATTTCTAGAAGCCCCACTTACCTCCCCCACTGCCACAATAATCTTGGTGTTATTTCTTTAAAGAAATTTCTTTAGAAAAATCCATTAGTAATTTGCAGTAGTATGAATTAGCATACATTTAGTACTCGACTATGATTATTATTATCAAATCCTCCATCTCTATGCTAGAAATTATTCCAGTATACGCCTTAGAATAAGAGAAAAAAGTATGTTCCCAACTGTGTAACCTCTATTATTAATATTAGTTATCTATTGCTGTGTAACAAATTGCCCCAAAATTTAGTGCCTTAAAACAACAAACATTCATTATCTCACAGCTTCTGAGGGTCAAGAATCTGGGCATGGCTTAACTGGGTGTCTCTGTCTCAGAGTCTCTTGTGAGGTTTCAGTAAAGCTACTGGCTGAGACTGTGGTCTTATCTGAAGGTTCAGCTGAGGCTGGGGGATTTGCTCTCAACCTCACTATGTGGTTATTGTCAAGCCTCCATCCCTTATCACATGAGCCTCCATAGGGCTGCCTTAAAACATTGCAGCTGGCTTTCCCAAGGCCAGTGATCTCTCTCTCTCACGTGTGCACATGCGCGTGCACGTGCGCGCACGCGCGCACACACACACACACACACACACACACAGCACAAAATAGAAGCCATAAATTTTTTATAACCTAATCTTGGAAGGGACATCTCATAACTTCTGCTATATTCTATTTCTCATTGAAGGAAGCCTACACTTAAGTAAAGGGATTATACATTGGTATGAATGCCAGGACGGGGGATAACTGGGAGCCATCTTAGGAGCTGCCTACCTTACTCCTCTTGGTTCCTCTTAAATCTAGGTTTTAACAAAATAAAAAGGGGGCTGTTTTGTGGCATCACATTCAAAATGATTTTTTTCTTTTAAAAAAATATGAATAGATTTCCTGGTCTGATTAAGAAACTTCTTTCACATGCAAGAGGCCAACAAACACATGAAAAAATGCTCATTATCACTAATCATCAGATAAAAGTATATTAAAACCACAATGAGACACCATCTAACACCAGTCAGAATGGCTATAATTAAGAAGTAAAACAACAACAACAGATATTGGAGGGGCTGCAGAGAAAAGGGAATGCTTACACACTGTTGATGGGAAGGCAAATTAGTTCAGCCACTCTGGAAAGCAGTTTGGAGATTTCTTAAAAAACTAAAAACAGAACTACCATGTGACTCAGCAATCCTATTACTGGTATATACCCAAAGGAAAATAAATTGTTTTAGCAAAAAGACATACACTCATATGTTCATCACAGCACCATTCACAATAGCAAAGACAGGGAATCAACTAAGGAGTCCATAAATGGTGGATTGAATAAGAAAATGTGGTACATACACAATATGGAATATTATGCAGCCACAAAAAAGAATGAAATAATGTTCTTTACAGCAACATAGATGCAGCTGGAGGCCATTACCCAAAGTGAACTAACATAGAAACAGAAAACCAAATACTGCATGTTCTCACTTATAATTGGGAGCTAAACATTGGGTACACATGGACATAAAGATGGGAACGACAGACACGGGGACTACTAGATGTTGTAGGGGTGGGGAAAGGGTTGAGAAACTACCTATTAAGTACTATGCTCATTACTCCAGTGATTGATTCAATTGCACCCAAAACCTCAGCATTACACAATGTGTCTTTGTAACAAACCTGCACTTATTATACTCCCTGGATCTAAAAGTGTCTTTTTTTTTAAAAGAAATGTCTTCCTTTTAGAAGAAGTCAATTTCCGCCGTAAGTCAACCACAATAGAAACTAATCATATTTCTGGTCTCTCTTTTACATTTTCCATTCAAGATATCAAAAAACTTTTTGGAAAAGGATTGAGAGCTTGCCCCATATATTCCTTTCAGAGATCCCCCCCCACATCAGATGATAACTACAACAGATTATTCCAGCAAGACGACCAAAGGCAATACCCAAAAATGGCGCAACTAATGACAAGAATGAGGATAACTGACATGTAATCAGCACCTACTCTCAGTTAACACAGCATTAAGCTCTTCACTTACATGATTACATTCACCCAGTACCACAGCCCTGTCTCTAAGGTCTGTATCTTTAACTCCTTTATGTGCTTCTGCATTCATGAGTAGCTGTGCATCTGAGAAAGCCAGAGTACATAAGTGACTTTTTCAAAGGAAAACTTATAATCAGTTTTTATTACGAAAAGAGAGACTTAATTGGAGGCATCTGATGTCCAGTGATTCCTTGGGTTCTTGTTCTGTGACCCAGGCCTACCCCCTTCCAGAAAGGTCCATCTGCAACTTCTTGGACTTTTCCCACTATGTATGGAGAGCTGCATCAAAAGGTGCTACAAGAGGTCTCTTTTCTCCCAAAAGCCACCAAGTCTCCACCAACTGGAAGAAAGGAAATGCAGGCTTGCCATCTACCAGAACCGTCTGCCCCAGTGTCTGTGCGGTTTATATCTTGTAGGTAAAGAGCCTTGAGGAAGAGTTACTGAGATAAATAGAAGCTTCAAAAATAGATTTTTAGGTCTATGGTGGTTCATGCTTGCAATCCCAGCACTTTGCAGGGCCAAGGAGGCTTGAGGCCAGGAGTTTGGGACCAGCCTGGCCAACATGGTGAAACCCGGTCTCTACTAAAAAACACAAAAATTAGTCAGGTGTGGTGGCACATGCCTATAATCCCAGCTACTTGGGGGGCTGAGGGAGGAGAATTGCTTGAACCTGGGAGGCAAATGTTGCCGTGAGTCGAGATCAGGCCACTGCACTCCAGTCTGGATGACAGAGCAAGACTCTGTCTCAAAAAAAAAAAGAAAGATTTTTAAAAAGTCAGGTTTATTGAGGTATAATTTACACAGACACATTCACTTTTTAAAGGTATCAGATGGATTTTTAAATGTGGCAGAAGAAGGATAGAGCTAGAATGCCATGCAAATAGATCAGGAATGAACCTTGCACATCTCAAAGAGAATGAAGGCGTTGGATTGGGACCAGGTGCCGCAGAGAAGAGCCTGCCTCACTTTCACAACCACTGGCGGGCATGAATTGAACACACCGAGCCAGGGTCAAAAGGACCCTTAAAACTCAGTCTAAGCAGCTTTCACATGAGTAAATGGAGACTGCCGAGGAGCTTGGTAACCTCTGAAGACTTGTCAGACTGGTCTGTACATCAGGATGAACAGTCCTCACATGGCATCTCAAGCACACCAGGCCCAGGGAGCCTCAGTCTGTCCATGAGGGGTGGCTGACGGCAGCCCTTTAGCAACTCATTATAAGAGGCAAGGGAACCAAGGTTCACTCTGAGTTTTGCTTTATGCTCTTCAACAACCCAGTTAGATGCCCCCAGAGGGGAGTACCCATGCCTCTTATACCTTTTCCCAAGAAATGTCTATGGTTGCTGCTGCTACAAGTGAAGACTGGGCTTTCCAATCTCTATTCCTTGTTCTTGAGGCTGGGCCACTGCAAAGATAATCACTTTGATCTTCACTAGCAACTCCCACCACAGGTCTGTCATTAAAATAGCAGGCAGATTGTTTTACTCTTTTTTTTTTTTTTTTGAGACAGAGTCTAACTCTGTTGCCCAGGCTGGAGAGCAGTGGCCAGGTCTTGGCTCCTGCAACTTCTGCCTCCCGGTTTCAAGCGATTCTCCTGCTTCAGCCTCCTGATTAGCTGGAATTACAGATGTGTGCCACCAAGCCCAGCTAATTTTTGTATTTTTAGTAGAGACGGGGTTTCACCATGTTGGTTAGGCTGGTCTCAAACTCCTGACCTGGTGATCCGCCTGCCTCAGCCTCCCAAAGTGCTGGGATGACAGGCGTGAGCCACTGCGCCCAGCCTATTTTACTCTTGCATCTTTCCCTGGCAGTTCTGTGCAGGGCTGTTTTGGCCCATCACTGTGCAGTGCACTTGAACAAATAGGAGAGGCTGTTGCTGGAGGCAGTATCTTTTGTAACAGCCAAAGTGGCAGCTGCAGGGAGGACTTGTGCTCATTGGAGTGGAATATATTTCAGAGCATTAACAGAGACTCTCGTATTATGGAACCCCACACAGAGATTACAATGGATTTTCTTATAATAGTCAATGAAGCAAAGATACCACCTGCCCATACATGAGGCTCACAAGGGGATTTGGTCTGCCAAGAACAGTAGGTATTGGCATGAAATTGTGTGTTGGAGAAGCACTTAAGTCACAGCCTTTCATGATTATTTGCTCTTGTTCTGCTGCACTGGCTGACCAGAATAAAAACCTGCAAAAACTTAAGTGGTCTTCCCCAACTAGTTTATTGGAAGACCCTGTAGCTGATCCCATCTGGAGCCCCTGGAGATGCTCAGAAAAGCTTTCGGCTTCTGGGCAAAATTAACTCCCAGATCCATAAAGGCAAAAAAGGTAATCCTCTTCAGTGATGTCAAAAGGAGAAGGATTTTTAATCATTTCGAATGCTTAGGAAGGCAGCAGGGAGGGAGCATTTGAACTCTGCTGGGTAACATGCTGTCTAGGCATTTGTCTTGACTTGGAGGATGCCCACTACATTAATC